CTCCGGCGAGGCCTGTCCTGTCACCTGGGCAGGTGTCGCCCTCGGCGGGGCCTGGCCACCTGGGCTGACCAGGACACCTGCCCCCTGTGACTGTCACCACCCCCGCAGACACCGCGGCCTCGCAGGTGCCAGGTGCCAGGAGCTGGCCCCGCGGGGACCAGGGTCAGTGCCCAGCGGCCAGTGAGCTCTTGGCCAGGCTCGGGGACAGGCGCCCAGGCAGGGCCCCTGCTGGAGCCGGAGAGTGGGAAAGAGGTCAGCGCAGAGGCTGCCCAGCACCGGTGGCAGGGTCCCCGTGGTCAGGGTCCCCACCGGCCTGGGCGGACCCCAGCCCCTGAGAGAACCGCGGGAGGAGGGGCGGGGGCAAGGGCCCAGGCCCAGGGTGGGAGCCCATTTTCCTACAGAGAAGGGGAGAGAAATGGGGGGAAGGGTTGGGGCTCACAGTGGGATGACTCCAAGGGTCTAACTTACATGGGTATTGCGTTTTGGAGGGTGGGTACTGAGGACTGGACCAAGGGGTCCTAAACCACTGAGCCTCATCCCCCCCTTTTTTTGTAGTCGTAGATGGACAGAATGCCTTTATTTGCTTATTTTTACGTGGTGCTAAGGATCAACCCAGTGCCTCCCACGTGCTAGGCAAGCGCTCTGCCACTGACCCCAGCCCCAGCCCTCCAGCCTTTTTTATTTTTATTTTAAGACGGGGTTTTGCTCAGTTGCTGAGGCTGGCTTTGAATTTGCAATCCTCCTGCCTCAGCCTCCTGAGTCACTGGAATTGTAGGCATGGGCCACCACACCCAGTGCATGTTACTTATTTTTGGTAACCATGTGCCACTTAAACTCCTCGTAACAGTTTGAGGGATTCATTATTAACCATCCTCTGTACCTGGAATCTCAGTGGGCTCATGTCTGACATTTGGGGAGTTCAGGGATATTGTGCATTCTCTTCTGACTGAGCAAATGGTCATTAGTGGCCTAAAGATCGTAAGGTGGATGTTTGTATTATCGTGATGAAATTCTATTTCATTATTTTAAATTGCATTTTCACTCATTTTATAGTCACGTTCAAAAATGAATTTTTAGCAGTGTGCAGTGGTGCATGCCAATAATTATCCCAGTGACTCAGGAAGCTGAGGCAGGAGGATCACAAGTTCAAGGCCAGCCTTAGCAACTTAGTGAGGCCCAAAGCAACTGAGGGAGACCCTGTGTCAAGATAAAAAAAATAAAAAGGGCTGAGGACATGGCTCCGTGATTAAGCACCCCTGTTTCCATCCCCAGTACCAAAAAATTAAAAAGGGGGTGGGAGGGGTTAAAAATTCTTCTTAGGATAAACTTTTATGAACAGATTTCATTAAATATAGATTTTTAAATAAAAATGGTAACACCCCAAAAGAATGGTAACACCCTCAAATTTAAACAGGAGCAACGCTCAGGGAGACTTTTCAAGTTCGGATGACTCTGTTAGGTGCTGGCCTTGGGCTAGAGCTGGGGACGGTGCCGCCGTCTCGCGCAGGTGGAGAAGTGGGCCGTCTCCTTGGTCCACTGTGGTTGGGAGGAGAGGTTTCCCCACTTATTTCACAATGTGCTTCTTCCACCTGCTGTTTAAAGGGACATCTTTCCCAACTGGGACCTCGGTTCCCCATCCCCAAATTAAGCACGTGCAGTTAGGTTCTGTTTATGGGGTGAAACACTGACCCGTAAGACCCAGACCAGACAAGGAGGAACCCCGTCAGCTGAGCCTTCAGAACACCTTGGTCCTGAGTCAGTCTTCGTGAATGAAATTTTAAAGGAAGTCTTGCTCGCCTACACCTAGTTCTTAGTTCCCTCTATTCTTGTTTTGTAGGACAGCCTGGCATTTTTCTAAGGTCACAAGATGAGTCATTTATAGAAACGAGAGTGGAGCCAGTTTCTGGCCATGTCACTCCCAGCCACTTCAGTGCAAAATCCCTCTCTTTGCAGACTTCACGGCCCCTCGTCGCCAGCTAATGGCCTCCTCTCTCGCCGTACCCCATTGTGCCCAGCAGTTGATCTCCTCTCCTCCCCGCGAACGAGTCCCCTGTTTAGGGATCCTTCTCTGTGCTTTTTCACCTAACTGGGGACAAGAGCGGTGTCTGTGTTTTGTCTCTATAACCTCAGTATCCTCAGCGTCAGTGCTCAGTCAGATGCAGAGGACGGGCGAATGGCCGGATAATCGGATGTTGGGAAGGTTGAACGGGTGGATAAGTGGGTGGAGGGACAGGCAGGTGCATGTGTGAATGGTTGGGTGGGTGGATAAACAGATGAATGGAAGGGAGGACGGATGGATGGAGGGATGGACAGGTAGATGAGTGGGTGGGTATTGAATGGATTGATGGATGGATGGAGGGATGTAGGGAAGAAGGATGAATGGGTAGATGGACGGTGGATGAACGGATGGAGAGATGAGTTGGTAGGTGAATGGATATCGGATGGATGGATGGGTGGATGGATGGGTGGAAGGGTGCCTGGGTCATTGGATCAGCTCAGTGTTCTGAATCCTGCTCGGGTGTCTCTAGGTCCAGTCACGTCCACCACTGGTGTCTTCTGAAGGGGACAGAGCTGATCCCTGAGTGTGTGGATATCAATCTGGGGTGAGGAATTCAGAGGGACTCATAAAGAGGTTATCCACTAGCGTAGGGTGATGGGAAGTGGTATAGTCACATTAATGTCAAAAATCAGGGCCTTCTTTCTAATTAGTTAAAACTAATTTTGGAAGAAAGCCTGTAATGTCTTGGTACGTGACGAACACTGTCATCAAGAAACCTACCAAGGCCGGGAAAGCTGTCAGGGTTGGGGGCTACTTCTCAGGAAATGAGGTCCCCTGCTTTTCAGAGAGGCCACGGGGGCCCTGGGACTCATTCTGACGTCCATACCTGTCTCTCCCTCTGAGCTCGGTCGCCTTCTCCCTGTGCTTAGGAAAGTGGACACCAGCTAAAACCCACGTCAGCCACGGGAGTCCGTCCCTTTAACTTGTAAAATCTAGACTCATTTCAAAACAGTGAACAGCCCCGGGATGCTCGGGAGAGGGTCTCTGTGGAGCGCAGAGGGTACTCCCCTGGGCGGCTGGAGGACAGGAGGGGGGAGTTGGGGGTGCCGATTCCCCCCCTACCTCGGGGGCGCTGTGGAAATTGTTCTCAACGTAAACAAATCAAAGATGGGAGTCTACCTCTCCCCGCTCCACGGTCCTTTATTTTTTGAGGTGCTAGGGATCCAACCCAGGGCTCACGCACGCCAGGCAGGTGCTCCACCACGGAGCAGCACCCCAGCCCTCCTCCTTCGAGAGCATTTGAACCCCTGAATAGAAGTCTCCAGACTTGACTGACAGTTCTCCTGACTGACGAGTTGATGCTGAAAGGACATGGCTGCAATCGCTGGTCCAGCTGCTTGCAGTGAGAGGCCCCTGGCCTCCTACAGGGACTGAATACAAGGGTTCGGGAGCAGAGGGCCCGCTGTGACTTTCTGTCCTATGAAAGAAGGCTGTCGCCCCACCCAGAGTGTCCGCAGGTGGCTCCTGTCCTGGGCTGGTCTGCCCACCTCTGGTCCCCTGGAAGTGGGCCATGGGTCAGGCTTCCCACGGGGCCTTCAGGCAGCCACCAAGCCGCTGGCTGCCCTCACCTCTGCAGGAGGGTCTTGGCGCCACGGTCCTGGTGGAGCCGTGGGGTCTCCCGCGGGGACTGAGGACTGGGGCTCAGGCTTGGTCTCCCGGGCGGCTGAGCTCACCCACGGGATCCGGGGCCCGCACCATCCTCCCGGGCACGCGGCTCTGCTGGTCGGGGTAAATGGGGGTGCTCAGTGTGGACTCGGATTCTCCCGTGTGCAGAGGACCAGTGGGTGGGGAGACAGCCACAGGGGCCACGCGGGAAGTGGACTCCTGTAATCGGGGCCCCGTGAAGTGACCTTCGTGCCCACGGGCTTTCCCCACAGGGACGCCCACCAGCCCTGCCTACCATGATCCCCCCCGTAAGCGGCACCCCTCCGGGAGAGGCCCTCTTCCCCAGCTTGGCGCCTCAGGACGTCTGGAGGTCTCAGATCTCTGGCTGCTCGGGGTCTGTGACCCGCCACATCAGCCACCGGGCCAACAATTTCAAGCGACACCCCAAGAGGAGGAAGTGCATCCGTCCGTCTCCGCCCCCACCCCCCAACACTCCGTGTCCCATTGAGCTCGTGGACTTTGGGGACCTGCACCCCCAGAGGTCCTTCCGGGAGCTGCTGTTCAACGGCTGCATCCTCTTTGGAATCGAGTTCAGCTATGCCATGGAGACCGCCTACGTGACCCCCGTGCTCCTCCAGATGGGCCTGCCCGACCAGCTGTACAGCCTGGTGTGGTTCATCAGCCCCATCCTCGGTGAGCCCCAGCCAGCCCTGATGGCACATGGCCTCTGGAAACCTCTGGAAGCTTCCGGAAGCCTTGGTTCAAGTAGCTTGAGGTTCCAAAGGGAGAGAAGAATTACGTTCCTCTCATTAGTCGGGGGCTGTAGAAGGCCAGTGTAGCTGATCACGCCCCACGTTTTAAGCTCCTTCATCTAAATCAGACACTAGAACAGGAATCAGTCCACCCCAAGAGCTACGCCCTCTTGGACCAAGCTATCATCAGAGAATCCAAGCGAAAATGCCGGTGGCGTTCGGGTCTGTGTGGTCCAAGAACGTCTTGGATCCCCAGTGGAAATTCTAAGGACATTCTGAGCGATTCCCGGAGTTTTTCTGTCTTCCAGTTGTAGCTAGATTCTGTGGCCTCCTCTGGGCTCCACCCTCTGACTCTTTGGGGACATTTGAGTGCAGGAATGTGACCGGCCATCCCCGGTGTCCCTAGGTCCCCGGGGGGGGGGGACAGCGATGACACTGGCCCGCTCTGTTTCAGGATTCCTGCTGCAGCCTCTGCTGGGTGCCTGGAGTGACCGATGTACCTCAAGGTTGGGAAGGAGACGTCCTTTCATTCTTGTCCTGGCTCTAGGTCTGTGGCTTGGCATGAAATAAAATGACACAGAACCAAACCAGAAGCCCAGCAGCTTCCCTCTAGGAGAGTCTGTAAAAAGTCTCTGCCAACACAGTCCCTAGTGGCTCCTGGCCCTCAGTGGTGTGGCCGCCCGAGAGCCCCAACCCTGATTCAGTCAACCCTGAGGATAAGTCACTGTCACCTCATTCCAGAGGCAAAGTCACCTGAGTCTGCAGCTGGCCCGTCCCACCAGCTCTGCTTGGAGTTTGATTTTTGAAATTCCTCCTAGGATTCTGGAACTTAGATAGTGAACTACAGGGGACAGAGCTGGTGGGTGTTTTCTCTGGGTGACTTTGTGTCTCTTTCCAGGGGCGTTGCTGGGCCTCTCGCTCTTGCTAAATGGCAGGGACATCGGCACTGCCTTGGCCGACACGGCCACCAATCACAAGTGGGGGATCCTCCTGACCGTGTGCGGGGTGGTGCTGATGGACTTCAGTGCGGACTCGGCGGACAACCCCAGCCACGCCTACATGATGGACGTGTGCAGCCCCGTGGACCAGGACAGAGGCCTCAACATCCACGCCCTCCTGGCGGGTGAGTGCCCCTTGACTGCGCGGAGCCTGCAGAAACCTGGGTGAGACTGTACACTCGGGGGCCCTTCTTCAAAATAAGTTGGGGAACTTCAAATAGAGGCTAAGCATTTAAGTGACTGAAAATATGTATCTGGCGGTGGGGGTGGGGAGCAGTGGCACATGTCTGTAATCCCAGCAGCTCGGGAGGCTGAGGCAGGAGAATCTCAAGTTGAAGGCCACCGTCAGCATCTTAGCAAGGCCCTAAGCAACTTAGCAGGCCCCTGCCTCAAGAAATAAAAAGGGGTGGGGATGTGGCTCGGTGGTTAAGTACTTCTGGGTTCAATCCCTGGTACTAAAAAAAGAAGAAAAAAGAAACGAAAATGCTATATCCCAAACAACATGATCCACAGCAGCATACCATGGTGACACACGTGTGTGTGTGTGTGTGTGTGTGTGTGTGTGTGTGGATCCATATCTCCAGTCCTCCCAAGAGGTTCCAGGAACCCCTGCCATACCCAAATCCACTGCTGCTTAGGTCCTCTGTATAACCGGCACAGTAAGGGCTGGGCTGTAGCTCAGCCCTGGCCTGTGCAACCCCTAGGTTCATCCCCAGTAGAGCAAAAAAATAAAATAAAAAGGCCCAATGTTTACATATAACTTCTGCACATCTCCCCGTCAACTTTAACCTTCTCTCAGTTGCTGATGGTGTTTTACACCATGTAGGAGGTAGGTAAATAGCTGTTATACTGCATCATTTAGAGAATGATGAAAAGAGGCTTATTCATGTTCAGGACAGACACAATAATTTTCTGAATATTTTGAATCTGAGGATGTGGAACCAGTGGATACAGAGGGCGGAATGTGTCTGTGCCTTTAAATGTAGACACATAAGCACACGTGGCGGTCCACTCTCGTGGTTTGCAGCAGCCGTGTTCTTACAAAGTCAACGCAAACGCTGAATTAGCAAATACTGGACCCTTGCTCCCGGGAGGAGTACAGGGCTGGACTCCTGTGAGCTTCCCCTCACAATATTTTCATCACATCGGTCAACACGTCACCTAGTTTTACATGTTTCTGTTTCAAGATGCTTTATTCCAGCGCTGACTCACTCACATTGAACTTGGGGCCCACAGCCCTGCGTCGCACGCACGAACACTCACGATCACCTGGGAACACCAGGCCGCTCTTCAGCAGTCCTCTCGGGGCCTGTTTTAAACAGAGCAACAGCAGGGAAAATATAAATCACAAAAATGCAAACCCTGTGGCACCAATGCAAGAGACGCTGTCCACGGGTGTGCGCCCACCGGGAGGTGAGGACACCCCTCCACCGCAGCTGGGGCCTCACGGTTCTGTGCACATCCTCGATGACTGCAGAACCCCGACGAGCGATGCTCCTGTCTGTGAGTCCACGGAACACACCCCACAGCCAGGGAGGCCCGAGAGTGTGCCCGGGCACCGGCCTCCGAGCGCTCAGTGCTAGAGCAGGAAACCCTTCCTCTGGGCCTCAGGAGGGAAGTGCTGACCCCTGCGGCAGTTGCCCTGGACAGCAGACATGTCAGGAGTCAGCATTGTCGCTCGTGGATGGCCTGTGTCTGCACCCCTGCAGACTTCCTGGGCCCTAACACAGTGACCAAGCAGGCCGCTCGGTCATCCCAGCAGCATGTGGGCATCAGCGGGGCTGGTGGTGCACACCTGTGATCCCAGCGGCTAAGGAGGCTGAGGCAGGAGGATCACAGGTTCAAAACCAGCCTCAGTAACTTAGCAAGGCCCTAAGCAACTTGGTGAGACCCTGTCTCAAAATAGGAAATAGAAAGGGCTGGGGATGTGGCTCAGTGACAGAACCCAGGTACCAAAAATAAATAAATAAGGGAGAATAACGAAATGCCAAAAAAAAAAAAAAAAAAAAAAGGACAAAAAGCAAGACAGAGGCAGAGGAGGGATGGAGAAGACGACCTGGAATGTAAAAGTCAGAGGGAGGCAAATGGGAGAGCTCAGCTCCGCAGCGTGTGGCTCCTAGCACGTGTGCAGGGCTGAGCACGGGAGTGCACACTGAGGTAATAAGGCCAGACCCCGAGAAGCCATGTTCCAGATCTCGAGCTGGAAGAAACCAAGGGAACCCTCCTCCCAGCCAGTGGGTGGTTCAAAATTCAGCTGAACTCAAAATAATTAACACTTCCCCAGGTTTGGCGGTGGAGGGGCGGGGTGCTGGGGCGGGGCAGTGTCCCTTGCTCTCGCTCTTGGGCTCAGGAATCGGCACTTCTGGAGGTCTCTGCAGCTGCCGCCGCTGCCACTGTACCCCTCATGCTGGGCTCTGGGAGCGCCCTGGCCATCTGGCCATGGCCTGGGCCCTGGACTGAGACCGCCACAGCCCTCTGTTTTCCTGTGCTGGAAGATCCTGAGAGCCAGGTGGAGGAGAGGTGGGGCCGTGACAGGTGACTTTCCTCATGGTGACCGTGTGCAAGGACACAGTCAGGGAGCACCTGAGCAAGCTCGTCTGTGTCAGCCTCCCATGACTCTGAGGCCAGAGGGGGCTTGAGGGAAGGCGGGACCTGGCGACCTCCACTATGTGGCCCTCACAGCTCGTGATGAGTGGGGCCGCAGGAGGGCAGGGGCCATGTGCTGCCCGCTCCGGAGCCAGGCCCCAGGATGCCACCAGGCAGGTGACCCCAGCAGGCAGAGGACGGAGTGTCCCTGAGGAGCCACCTGGCAATGCCACTGCCACCTTTGTTGGGGTTTTGTGGGACAGACACCACATCTGGGTGTTTGGGACAGACGGTGCTATTTCAGTGTCCCAAGAAATGGGACCCCGTCCTGAGGGTCTCCCTTGCCACTGGCAGGAAGCAACCAGAGCCCCCTTCTCTCCCAGGTCTCGGAGGAGGGTTCGGATACGTGGTCGGGGGCATCCACTGGGACAGAACTGGCTTCGGGAGAGCCCTTGGGGGCCAGCTGCGCGTCATCTACATCTTCACTGCGGTCACCCTGAGCATCACCACCGTGCTGACCCTGATCAGCATCCCAGAGAGGCCCCTGCGGCCCCTGGGTGAGAAGCGGACGGCCATGAAGAGCCCCAGCCTCCCGCTGCCCCCCTCGCCCCCGCTGCTGTTGGAGGAGGGGGCCGGCGACGCCCTGCCCGCCCAGGCCACCAGCTTGTACGCCAGCTTCTCCAGCCCCATCTCCCCGCCCAGCCCCCTCACGCCCAAGTACGGCAGCTTCCTCAGCAGGGACAGCTCCCTGACCGGCCTTAACGAGTTCGCCTCTTCCTTTGGCACCTCCAACATCGACAGCGTCCTCATCGACTGCTTCACGGGCGGCCACGACAACTACCTGGCCCTCCCTGGCAGCGTCCCCAGGCAGGCCATCAGTGTCAGCTTCCCCCGGGCCCCCGACGGCTTCTACCACCAGGACCGGGGGCTGCTGGAGAGGAGGGAGGGGGCCCTGACTTCCGGCTCAGACAGGGACGTGCTCAGGGTGGGCTCCCTGGACACCCCCAAGCCCAGGGCCTCCGGGATTCTGAAGAGACCCCAGACGTTGGCTCTGCCGGATGCAGCCGGAGGAGGCGGCCCCGAAACCAGCAGGAGAAGGAACGTGACCTTCAGCCAACAGGTGAAAGCTAGCAGTGGGAAGCCAGGGGTCAGGTGGCGGTGGGGGTCCCCCTCAGCAGTTAGATGACAGGAAGGGGAGCTGATTTGGAAAGAGCTTCCCCTCGGGCCAGGCGGGTGTCCCAGGTCCTCCTGTCTGCGCGGAGGAGCCTCCAAGTTTCCTATCTTCACTTCGCATGTTGCTGCGTGATCCCCAGGCTGACGGGAGTCCAGGTGAGACCGCAGGGTCCCCACTGCCAGGTGGCTTGGCAGGCTGCGAATTCCACACACTGCTGGGTTTGTGCAGAGGCCTCGCAGGGAGGACGCCCTTCTGGTGCGTGAGCACAGGGTGTCTTCTGCTGGTTCCTGGCAGTTTCCCTCAAGCCCAGCCCCCAGCCCATCTGTGCCACGGGAATGTGGTACCAACAGGCTGAGTCTCCAGATAAGACGACCTGGAGTATCAAACAGGGCTCGTCTCTCCCAGGGTCTCATGTTAGCTAACCACCAGGGGTTGCAGAAGCTCTGGACTCTCCAGGGCCATGACATCTTCTGTAAAGGCACAGAATGTTCCAGAAGGTGGTTTAGGTTGCCTTTAGTGTATGTTGGATTGGCCTCAAGCCCACCAAGTGAGACATGAGGTTTTACCAACCCTCAGAATCCACGATCCTAAGCCTGGTGGTGCACACCTGTAATCTCAGCGGCTGGGGGTGCTGCGATAGGAGGATCTCAAGCTCAGAGCCAGCCTCAGCAACTTGGCAAGACCCTGTTTCGAGATTTTTAAAAGGCTGGGGACGTGGTTCGGTGGTTAAGCACCCCTGGGTTCAGTCCCTGGTACGAAAAAGAATCCATGACCATGACCCCGAGGAGGCTATTCCAAGCCAAGGGAGGGAATTCTCTTATTTAAGTGGACACAGGGCTGCCCACTGGCCTTGGGCGTTACGGGAGGAGAGGTCAGGAACTTGGGGTTTGTGGACTTGAGTCCTGTGAAACCGTCTAACCTGCACTGGGCCAGGTGGGCCGGATGCGGCCCTGTGAGAAGCTGGCTCCGGCCGCAGGGCCTGAAGGGAGTCCGGGCCGACTCGACCCGCTCTGGGTCCACATGGGACCAGGACCATTAGTTTCTCAGGCAGCTTCCCGCAGGAGCCCAGGTCCCTTCCCTGATCCCAGGAAGGTTCCCTGGCTTGGTCAGTAGTCAACTGGACACACCTGAGGGGGCCGCCCATCTCTCCTCCCAGTGAAATGCTTGGGCCTGACTGGGCCTCTCCGGGCTTCCTCTGCTGCATTATGGCTCTTGGGCCTTAAAGCCATTGCTGGCTGGCTCGGTCATCGTCCCATCTGGGGGAAGAGCCCTGCAGAGGAGGCCAAGTCCTCCCTGTGGGCAGTGTGGGCAGCATTGGGAGCACCATGGAAATGGTTTGAAGGTGCAAAGCTCTCCAGAGTCAGGAAGGCCTGCTGTTAGCCAAAGCAAGGGATTTCCTGATTGCTCCCATCAGGGGCGCTGTCACCCTCATCTCTGGTGACTTCAGAGTGACGAAGCCAGTCTTTTGTCAATGCCGGGGCCTCCTACCTGTCTCTCCAGGTTGAGCATGGCTTCTAAGCACCGTTCCTTGGGTGCGCTTGAAACTCCTGTTGAAATCCCTTCTCTCCTGAATCCCTTCTCATCCTGAAGCCATTGCCATTGATGCCCCAGCTCTTTGAGGAGAATAAAAACCAGGAGCTAAAATAAACACATCCAGGCTTAAGTGGGGACATGGTATAAGTAGCCGTCCTCCTCTGGCAGGTGTGGGGGACAGGCTCTGTTGACGTGGCCCCTGGGAACCAGTGGTGTGGGCGCAGACAACTCCTGGACTCCCCCATGGAGCCAGAGCAAAACGGCTCAAGTTCAGAATGATCAGTTCTCCTGGCCGGAGTCTGTGCCCCCAAACCAGGCAGGGAGGGGCAGGCGGAGTCAGTGAGCAGATGCCCCCCAGGAGGATCGTTCTTGGGTCCCAGAAAGAAACTGTCCCCCATTCCTCTGTCTCCATCGTGTGGACAGGGGGCACCTTAGCCGCACAGCGAGTCCCCGTTGAAGGCTGGGGCTGGGGGCAATGTGATGTGCCCGCCCTGTGCTCAGGTGGGGGACTCCCTCCTGTGCAGAGAGGGTTCGGAACAGGTGTCCCCATCGCCTTGAAATAATGGACCTCCTGGAAAAGAAAGGCCTCGCGCTGTCCTGGGTTGATCAGATCCAGGTTTTCTTAAGTGGACTCCGTGTTTTCCCAGGGCTTAACCCCCCACCGTGAGGCACAGAGCTCGCTGCCGCCCTCTGGGAGCAACTGTGGGCCTTGAGTTCCTTTTCCCAGGGCTTAACCCCCCACCGTGAGGCACAGAGCTGCTGCGGCCCTCTGGGAGCAACTGTGGGCCTTGAGTTCCTTCCTCTGGCGGCTGGTGCTGGGCTCGTGCCCTGTACCCGGGGCTGGCCCACTGACCCAGGCTTCTGCGGCTCCGTTGTAGGTAGCAAACATCCTGCTCAACGGCATGAAGTACGAGAGCCAGCTGACGGGCTCCAGCGAGCACGCGGAGCGGCCTCTGTCTCTGGGCAGCCTCTGCTCCACCATCTGCCACATGCCCAAGGCGCTGCGCAACCTCTGCGTCAACCACTTCCTGGGTGAGTTCTTCTCTGCCCCTTCCCAGGAGGCTCTTCCCTCATTAGCCCACAGGCGACAGCAAGGGCAGAGCAGGGGGCTCTTCTCCAGGGCGCTGCCCTGCGAGGTCCCCGTCAAGGTCCCCGTCAAACCTGGTGTTTGGGTCACACTCCTTCCCCAGGGCAGGGCTGGACACCTGGGTCTCCACAGAGCCAAATCCTCATTCCCAAAAGCTCTGGGACAACTCCGAGTGAAACGACGGGCCCCACCTTCCCACAGTGTCCTCCTCTGCCCTCCGCCTGCTGCATCAGCCTGGTCCACCCACGGGTGCTCTTAAACCCACAGGGCTTGACCTCGGTTCGGAGCGACAGTGGACTCGCCCTTTATTCTGTTTGGTGTCTCTTTGCTGTTGAGTTGTTGGGCATCTGAGGGTGATGAGGAGCTTGAGGATGGGACATGGATCAGCAGGACCTTCTAGAAGGCCATCTGGTCACGGGCAGGAGTCACAAGAGTGTCCATGACTTTGTCGCAGTGACCTCACTGGGTGTCCTGTGCAGCCAAAGATGGCATCAAGTGTATGTGCATGAGCCCTTCTGCCCAGCATGGCTTGCAATAGCTGAAACTGGCCAGGGGACAGGGTGTCCAGCAGTTGGGGGTGCTGAGTATGTCACAGCGTGGCCATGCTGTGAAGCATCTTATGGCATTAAAATGAGTCTGTCTCACAGTATTTGAAGATTTAGGAAGTTGTGGAAATTTCTTAGGGGTCGGGAGACCCAGTAAACACCACTTTCCCCCACAAAGAAGAGATGACACCGAGTCAGAGGGACAGAGCTCTTAAGTTCTATTGGTGATGAAGCACATGGGTCCATGTCACCATTTGTGCTTCCTAACGTATTTCTCCCGGTAGCCGGAGCACCCATGGCATCGACTTGTGTTATAAAAATACACATTCGTCTGACCTGCGAGGCCACAGGGACTCCTACAGAGCTCTAACAGAGGTGGTCTCTGGGGGTGAAGCTGTGGGGTGCTTCTTCTGTGATTCTTGAGTCTATAAAAATTGCTTGTTTTGCCAGTCACGGTGGTGCACGCCTGTAATCCCAGCGGCTCCAGAGGCTGGGGCAGAAGGATCACAAGTTCAAGGCCAGCCTCAGCAATTTAGCAAGTTCCTAAGCAACTTAATGAGACCCGATGTCAAAATGATAATTTAAAAAATGTGGAGGGGCTGAGGATGTGGCTCAGTGGTTCAATCCCTGGGACCAAACAAGACACAACAAAAATCACTTGTGTCTTTTGTCATCAGTAAGAACGGCCTGGTTAAAGGGCCAGGCCGCAGCTTCTGCAATCCAGGGCCACGGCCCTCTCTCCTCCTCCCAGGCTGGCTCTCCTTTGAGGGGATGTTGCTCTTCTACACGGACTTCATGGGCGAGGTGGTGTTCCAAGGGGACCCCAAGGCCCCGCACACGTCAGAAGAGTATCAGAAGTACAACAGCGGCGTGACCATGGGCTGCTGGGGCATGTGCATCTACGCCTTCAGCGCGGCCCTCTACTCAGGTAGGCAGCCGCCACTTCCCCAGGGCAGACACGAAATCCAAACTCGGGGCGCGGGGCAGGTGGCACACGCTGTCTCTTTTCAGTCCCTCCGTAACTGCTGGACCCGCAGGCCATACTGTCCTGGGCACTGGGGGGTAGAGGCCAACCTGCGGGCAGCCCAAGGGGACAGGTGCCCGGCTAGCCCTGACTAAACCCAGGGCCAAGGGCCAAGTGGGGACCTGGGATATGCCTGGCCACCCCAGGGCTGTGCTGCACAGACCCATGTCCTTCCGAGGGGCAGCAGAGGGAGGGGCGGTGGGGCTGCATCAAGGAGCCTGTGGGCTGGGCAGGGGACACTGGTGGGTGAGCCCTGGGACTGGGTGGCATGTTGATTGAGTCGAGGACAGTGCCCACCCTGTGAGGCCTGGCTGCAGTGGCCACCGGAAGTGTTCGCTTAGGGTCGGCTCCTGTCTGCAAAAGCCACACACAGGTCACCCCAGCTCTTTAGCCAAGATCTGTGCCCTCTTGGCTCGGAAGCTGCCTTCAACGTTCGGTAGCTAAATGGCCAGGGTTCCATTCCTGGCCCAGAAATGGATAAATCTCACTTGAAAGTCTCTGGGCTGCAACCAGGGTATTGGTGCTCCATAGCCAGGAGGCCTCAGCTGTTTAAATAAAACAGACCCTCGTTGTCCTGCCGTCTCTGGGTACCTTGCGGCAGTCATAAAGATGGTGGCCAGCCAGGGGATGGGCTGTTGCTGTCCCTGTTGTAGGAAAGAGACAGCAAGGAAGAACATCCACGCACGCGCAGACTCAGCTCCAGCCCGAGTCCCTGAGTCTCTGCTGTGATTCCGCCCAGAGACCCCTTCCCCTGCAGAAGCCCCAGGGGTCTGCTGCCGACCATGTGACAGTCCTGCCCTGGGAAGCCCCCAATGAGTGCTTTCTGGTTGGGGCCAGGTGGCCAGCCACCCGGGGTCCCTTCTCCACCACCTCAGCTCAGCCCTGGCGGTGGTGCAGGACGTGGTCTGTGGGGCCAGCACATAGTGGCCACTCACCCTCTCCCACCCGCAGCCATCCTGGAGAAGCTGGAGGAGTGTCTGAGCGTCCGCACCCTCTACTTCATCGCCTATCTCGCCTTCGGCTTGGGCACCGGGCTGGCCACGCTCTCCAGGAACCTCTACGTGGTCTTGTCCCTTTGCATAACCTACGGGGTCCTGTTCTCCACCCTGTGCACGCTGCCCTACTCGCTCCTCTGCGACTACTACCAGAGCAAGAAGGTAAGTGCTTCTTTGCTTCTTGGCTATGCTGCCTGGAAAATGTCCCCGGGATGGGTACACGATCTGCAGGGCCATTGCTTGAAAATGGGGACCATCAAGACACTGGCGGTGGGAGGGAGTCCTTCCCCGTTTGCTTGCCTCCATGACCCGCCCAGGTTGCACCGCCCCGTGAGCCGTCCCTTGCTTCCTTAGCAGGGGCCTCCACATGACCCACACTCTGTGCAAGGACCCTGGGAAGGACCCTGGGTCTGGGAGACCCCCCCCCGACCCCTTCATCAGGCTTTTGGGTCCCCCGTTCACACAGCAGTTCACAGTCAGGCTCTCGGTACGAGAGCCCAGCGCCCAGAGCTAGCCCCCCAGGACCAGTGGCAGGTGATGGCAGGATTTCTAAAAATCAGAACTGATGTCCGAAGCCGTGCAGATCAAGGTGTCGACATCTACAGCACAGACCAGCTGCGGATCACGGCCAGGCCGCCCCGCACTGGTGTTTGAAGCCAGGGGGACGAGGGCAGCCTGAGCCGTCTCATGGGGGCGGCTGCTGGCTTATTTGGGCAGGGCTGAGGTGTCACACCCAGTGGTTTTTAAAATCCTCACAGAACTGTGTGCCCACCACCACAGCCAACCTAGACCATGTGTCACCCTCAAAGAAACCCTGTAGCCATCAGTCTGCTGGCCTCCAAGACCACCACTGGTCGGCGTGCCAAGTCGGGGCTCCCCGGGTGCAGCAGGAGTTGCTGTGTCACCCTCTTTTATGGCCACAGGGCGCTCCCAACGTGGTTTTTTTTTGTTTTTGCAGTAACTTTGAAAATTTTAAATACTGCATTAAAAATACTACCTGCTCACTGAGTTCCTGACGCCCCTCTAATTTGGGGCCCCAGTCTCTGGCCCACCCTGGTTTGTTTTAAAGGTTTTGAGGTTTCTGACAAGTTCAGCCAGGGCCGCCCCACGCACAGTGCTTTTTACGTACGAAGAGTGAAATCCCCCAGTATCGGGCTCCCAGGAACCACAGAGGGGAGGCTGGTGTCTTCGGGTGGTGGCTGTGACAGCTCCCCGTCAGCTTAGTCACGCCACACGAGCTGGGCATGACAGCCCTGTCCCCTTGTCAGGCCCCTGGAGCTCTGAGCCCCCTTCACTGGAGTAAACCATGAACCAATTTTGGGCAAAGGACTGTCCTTCCTCTCAGGCAGGGGCACCAGGGTCAGGGGTTGCCCTGATGGGATTCAGTCACAGTTGCGTGGATGCGGAACCTGCGTGGCCACAGCCTCCAGGGGGCTCCTGTCTGGGCTGGAGTCCAACCCAGCACCCAGAGGACCTTCTTTGCAAAGACAGGTGTAGCCCAGGGAGCTCCAGCCTTCCCCAGGACACAGTGGTGCTGATCACAGAGCACCTTGACGTGCCTTGTCCGTCGTCCCAGAGTTGCCCATCGGTGCTTGGATGCTGTCTATAATGTCACACACCCCTGTCCAATGGGGAAGCATCCATCTGGCACACAGGTGGCTGTTGGTGGCCTGTGCTGCCCGCAAGTGTGCGGCCCCACTGCCCCTCCTGCTCTGCTCCTCAAAGTCCACCTCTCACCTCCCCAGGTACAGTGCTAAGGTGGGGAGGGAGGGGGAAGGGCCCCTCCAAGCTGCGGCCTTGGGGACCTCCGGACCAAGGCCAAAGGCCACAAGGGACATTTTAGGGCGTGTTCAGGCAGGCTTTGTGGCTGAGGAAGATGAAGGGGGTGCAGGCAGAGTGGCCGTGGGGCTGGGCAGTGGTCTTTCCTGGGGAGAGCAGGGGGCATGCTTGGCCTGTGGGAACTCAGCCCTCCACCCATTAGTACTTGTCCTGTTCCCCGTCATCATCCCTCCACATACAGATGTCATCAAGCCCTGGCTCAGCCCTGAGCACTTCAGCCTGAAAAACGTGAGGTCGCCGCGGAGCAGGCTCGGGGCCTCCTCACCACCCAACGTGGCTGGCTGGGGCGGGTCTGGCTGATGCGTCCCTCTCCGGTCAGTTTGCAGGGTCCGGAGCGGATGGCACGAGGCGGGGCATGGGCGTGGACATCTCTTTGCTAAGCTGCCAGTACTTCCTGGCCCAGATCCTGGTCTCCCTGGTCCTGGGGCCCCTGACCTCGGCTGTGGGCAGCGCCAACGGCGTGATGTACTTCTCCAGCCTGGTGTCCTTCCTGGGCTGCTTGTACTCCTCTCTATTTGTCATTTACGAGATTCCTCCCAGTGACTCGGTGGATGAGGAGCACCGGCCCCTCCTGCTGAACGCCTGACACCCAGGGCTCGGCTTTGGGCTTCCTGCCTGGGCCTGGACGTCTGCAGTGGGCTGGCCACTAGACACCAAGGGCCTGGGAGCACAGGACAGGCTTCCTGTGGGGGTGTAAATATGTGGTCCAACAATAAAAGACAGCAGCAAAGCTGCAGTTTCTAGTGGCTCTCTGAGGGTGAGAGGTCACAGGGACCTGGGCCACTCTCCTGGGGACTAGGTGGTGGAGGGCCGTTGAAAGTTGCAGTGAAACTCAGTGGTTCTCAATCGGGGGTTCCCCCTCCTCGTCCCAGAAAGACCCTGGAGACAGCTACAGCTCAGCTGGGTGCCACGTGCTGGTCAGGGGAGCTGTGATGTCTACAGGGCACAGGAAGCCCCAGTGACAAGTCCTGCGGCAATGCTGAGGAAGACAGCGCACATTCTGCGATCCGGTCGCGGTTCTTTGGGGTCAGAGGCCTCAGTCCCTTCATTCACCCTTCCATTCGTCTTCTATCCTCCCTCTTTCTTTCTTTCTTTCTTTCTCTCTCTCTCTCTTTCTCTCTCTCTCTCTCTCTCTTTCTTTCTTTCTCTTTCTTTTTTTTTTTGTATCAGGGATTGAACTCAGGGATGCTAACCATTGAGCCACGCCACAGCCCTTTTATATTTTATTTAGAGGCAGGGTCTCATAGGGTCTCGCTAAGTTGCTGAGGCTGCCTTCGAACTCCTGTTCCTTCTGCCTTGGCCTCCTGAGCTGCTGGGATTCCAGGCGGCCACCGCACCCTGCTGGTTACCTGGACCTTAAGTGTTCCCCAAAGGCCCCTGGTCAAGAGCTTGGACCCCAATCCTGGGTGCAACTGGGGGGTGGAGCCTCTACGAGGCGGGGCCTCCTTGGAGGAAGTGAGGTCACCTGCCCTTGAAGGGGAGCTCTGGGACCCGGCACCTTCCTCTCTCCCTTTGTTTCCTGGCTGCCAGGAGGTGAGCAGCTTCCCCAATGGCCATGACGTACTGTGCCATCACAGCCCAAAGCCACAGGGCCAGCTGGCTGTGGACTGAAACCAGGAACTAAAATAAAACTTTGCACCTTTTAAGGCATTCAGCAGTGATGGGAAGCTGACCCAAGACCACACCCCAGCTGTCCAGCCAGTGCCCTGGGTGTGGGCAGGGCGGGCACTGGGCTTATGGAACTGCCCAGGGGAATAGGAAATGCCATTCCTTCCAGTTAGCGTGAGGTCGTGGGTTCAGGGATTGGCAGAGCAACAGATCCCAACCTCTTGGAACTGATGTGCAAGGACCAGGGTCACTATCGCACTGGACTCCTAGGCTCCAGGGTGGTGGTACGTGCTGGGAGACGCATGAGCAGTCGCGGGTGGGTGGGCCTGACAGCGACATCTCTGATGAGATGCTGATGCAGAGGGAGCCATCCCTGGAGCGGGAACTTGCTTGTCACATTCGAGGGAACACAGGCACCAAGATGCCCCCAAAGTGGGAAATGCACCTACTCAGCACCCAAGCTTCCTCTGCCTTGTGGGTAGGGCTGAGGGCTGGGGTACAAGGACAGGCCCCTCTCCCCATCCATCCTCCAGTGCCTGGGTTGGTAGGGAGGACATGCAGGCGGCACCCTCTGGAGCACAGACAGTTGTCCTCCATCTGGCCTCTGGTCACCTCTTCACATCACGCGCCCAACTTCCTGAGGCTCCTCCCCAGACACCCTGGGCAGCCTCTGCTCCCCACACTATGATTACTGGCTGTGAGAGCGTGACAGCCAAATCCTGGTGGTGCCCAAGGCACTAGAACTGGGCCTGGCATAGGATAGTGCAGCCCCTGGCACACGAGGGCATGAACCCGAGGTTTTACACCAACACACACAGGGGGCCTGATCCTGTGGCCCAGCTCCCAGGAGTCTGGAGTTCAAGGAGGTGTTCCGTCACCTTGATGTGACCAGGTTGGTCACATCCTGCAGCCAGTCACATGTGACCAATCAAGCGGAAAAGCCATAGCCTCTGTAGAGCACTTCGGTCACCTCTCCACCTGGGCCACAGCCTTCCAGCTTGTCAGGGCCTGATACCTCAACCATGACCTCCTCACCTGGCCCACAGCCTCCCCCAGGCTTCTCCCTTGGTGCCACTGCCTATGGACCCAAGGTGGCCGCACCACTGTGCCTGCCACTCCCTGGCCCCAGTCTACCCTCACACCCAGCCTCCACCCTGCGGCTGGGAGGGGGACCTGCAGATAGCTGAGCTGTCCCTTCCCCCTTGGCCCCTGGGGAGCCTAAGCACTGCACTCGGCCTCTGCCAGGCCCAAGCCTCAGCAAACACCCCCCTCTCTGCCCATCAGGGTCGGATTTTCCCACCTAGACCGTCTCAACCGCCACCTCCGCAGGCGCTTGCTGGGTCGGTAGCTTGTCCTCTGGCCCTCGCTACTCATAGTCCTGCCGGTGCGAAGGGCAGCGGACTCCCCCGCCCTGCACTCCCCAAATCCCCTCGCCCCCTGCCCCTCAGGCGGGGCCTCCTGTTAGTTGAGGCTTTTCCTGGAAGCAGGACGCAGCCTCCCACGCCTATGTTGCCTAGAAGAGGACGAGGCTTTCTGGTGTTGGGTGGCTGTCCTCTGGGCTGGTCTGTTTTTGCCCACAACTGGCTAAACCTGCAAGAGAGGAGTAGGAGCCCCCCACCTACTGTCGGCATTTCAAATCCTGAGTCCTCTTCCTAGAACTTTCTAAGTAAACCAAGATTTTTCCACGTGGGAATAAAACAAACAAAAAAACAGCCTCTGTGGTGCACTTTGGCCACCTCTCCGTCTGGGTCATGGCCTCCCCCTGCCACCACACTCCTCCCCACCCTGGGCCGTGCCCACCCCTCATCCCCCCACCTGGGCCAAGGCCTCTCCCTCCAAGCCATGCCCACCTCAGTCCTGGCCACAGCCCCTGTGGTCAGGCCCCCTTCTGAGAGTCTGCATGTGGGGGGTGCTAGGGAGGCTGCACAGGGCCACCTGCAGAAAGCCGCACTGGACCTTCAGGCTGTTCCGGGACTCAGGGCAGCACACTTGCTGGAGTCCATTGTCACAAGATTACCCTCTCCCTAAAATCAAGCTGCGAAGGGACAGTTCATAAGTCCTGACTACAGGCCCGTGGCTCGTAGTTTGCTTCATGCTCCAACCATGCTGGGAAGGGGCCTTGTTACTCCATTTTATAGACCGGGTTCCAGGTCCCCATCGCATCACGTAGGGTCACTTGCTCATGCCTGGCAGGGCTGGGATCTGGAACTGAGGGTGCTGCCTGCAGACCTCACCCTGCCACCAGCTCCCAGGCAGCAGCCCCCTCCCCTGGGCTGCCCACCAGGTCCCTCAGCTGGGGGTCTGGGCACACCATCAGGCTTCACTCAGAGGCTGCTTCTCATTCCATGGAGAGCAGGGAGGGGAGGGAGAGAAGCCTCCTTCTCTGTCCAGTGGCCCTAAGGTTCGACTTCTCAGGTGGCCAGAAACAAAACCAAAGCCGCACCCACAAAACAGGAAGCTGCTCCTGGCCTCCTCCTCAGCAAACCTGAGTGCCAGCTGCTCCCCAGAACGCTACGCTGCCTGCCTTGGAGCCCCCGCAGCTCACGTGCAATGGAAACTGAGGCCACAGGCTGTGTCGGCTTTCTGTTCCCATCTTCCCTCAGCCATAGTTGGGATCCTGGGGCCAGGTCAAGCAGCACTCGATGCTAAGAGGCTCTGAGGGAATGGAGAAGGCCCCAGAAGACAGGCACCCTCAGACAGCAGGCACCCAGGCTTTGTAACCACTGCCATCTGGTGGCCAAGACCGGGAGTGGCCATTTTTGTGTCCCAGGACCAGTGACAGAGCCTTGTGAAGGGGACCTCAGAATGACCTCCAGTGGCAAGGGACATAGAAAACCATGGCCTTAAAACAGCCTGGTGGCCTTAGGAAGTGTCCCTTGTTGAACAGTTCTTGTAATAAGTGCCTTAAAGTCCTGCCTTAAATCTAGTTCACCACCCCAGGCCTTCATACCCAAGGGTTCTCCAGAGGCCACGCCGACTCTCCAGCAACTCAGGTCCATCCCAGGAACCACAGGGACCCTGAGGGCAGCTCATCCTGCAGCCTGAAGCAGGCCAAAACCGAGTCACAGGAGCACAGTGGAGAGGACTGCTCTAGGGTCCACTGTGGGACAGCCACTTCCCCTGGCTTGGGGCCTATTAGCTTGCCCCCCAGGGGTCTGGGTAACAGGTCCTATTCTGGCTCCAAAACTGAGTTTAGAAACCTGGCTGGAGCCTTTCGGATTGGCCAGGGAGCCCTGGTGATAACTGAAGCCCCTGTGTGTGCCCCGATATCACACATCCCTGGGTCCCACCCGTGTAGTCAGCACCATGGGTGGGGAGGGGTCCTGTGGTGGAGGTCCCCAGGTTTCCTCTCCCTTCCATGCAGCAGGGCCCTGGCCTGCCCCTCACCTCAGCAGTTTGCATCCCCAACTGTAAAGAGCTCTGTGGTACAGACCCTGGAGGGCCCAGAGGCTCGAAGCTCCAAGTCTATCTGGGACGCCATTGCTAATCTGCGTGGTGCATCCCTGGCCTCTAAGTGACCTTGTTTTACTCAGGGCACCCACATGTAGTGCCAGACATTTATTAACAAAGCAGCCGTGCCCTCATCTATACTCCTAAGCCATGGTGGGCTCTGAGCCTCACACCACGCCCAACCAGGCACCATTTCCTGAGCCTCTGCCTGCAGAAACAAGGGGGCTACAGAACTTCCAATCCCAAGCTGAGGACCCACTCCTAGAACAAAGGAGCAGAAAGGCACAGAGGGACCAATCTCTTGGGCGACCAGAGGTGAGGACTGGCCTGCCTGGGCAGGTGCTGGGTGACAGCAGCACCCTTTACCTCCTCAATGGGCCAACAGATACCTGCCCTCTTCCTCAGACTGAGAGTGTGGCTGGGTACTGACAACCGCCTGAGGAAAGGCCATGCCTTTTTACTCAGTTGGTGAGATATTTGTGGGAGTTTATGGAGCACAGTATGATTCAGTACTTGGCTTGAGGCCTATCAGCTTGACCCCCAGGGGTCTGGGTAACAGGTCCTCTTCTGACTCCAATGCTGAGTCTCGGAACCTGGCTGGAGCCTTCCAGATTGGCTAGGGAGCCCTGGTGATAACTGTGAGACCCCGTGTGCCCGGATCACACATCCCTGGGTCTCACCATGTAGAGAGCACCACAGGTAGAGAGAGGTCCCCAGGATTCCTCTCCCTTCTGTGTAGCAGGGCCCTGGCCTGCCCATGATCACATCAAGATGATCAGCATTCCCATCTCCTCAAACGTCCATCATTTCTCTGCACTGAGAAGCTTTGAACCCTTCTGGTTATTTAAAATAAGGCTCATAAACTACCGTAAACCAATGTCCCCGTCATGCTTTCGAACCCAGGAACTACTCCTCAAGTCTGTGGTGATGCTATCCAACCTCCCCTCCCCTAGTCTCCAATGAGTCTCTCTACTCTCTGCTTCTTTTTTAGCTTCGATAAATCAGAACATGCAGGGTTTGTTTTTGTGCCAGACTTATTTCATTTCACATCAGTTCCATCCATGTTGCTGCAAATGGGAGGATTTCATTCTTTTTTTTATGGCCAAATTCCATTCTACAGGTGATTTTTCTTATCCATGTATCATCAGTGGACACCTGGGTCGATCCTCTCTTGGCTACTGTGAACAGTGCTACAGTAAACATGAGTGTGGGAATGTCTTCGCTACACTGAGTTCATTTCCTTTTGATGCATACCTAGTGGGGACTGTGCAATCACCTGGTTCTATAAAGAGTTTGGAGAAACTTCCATGCCGTTTCCTGCAATGCCTTTTCAAGCTTCAGTCTCACCATCGGAACCACCTTGACAGAGACTGGCAACGATGCCACCTGAATTCTAGCTCCACCCCCACTCCTCGGCAGCCCCCCCCCCAATTCCACCAGCTTATGAAGACACAGGACATCAGCTGCCTGGACCTCCCAAGGAAACCAATGTACACAGCACCCAGGCCCATCTGGCAACACTTCCCAATGTCCTGAACTGCGCAGCACCTGACACCTGCTGCTTCCCAAGCCTTTCCCTTTACGCCACAGAGCCTGCCTGGTTGGAGAGCAGCTTGCCAATAGTAAGTTCTCTGCACTGCTCTGGCCACACCTTGAAGACCACCCAGAAACCCATGGCCATGTCTCAGATGGAAAGGCATCCATGTAGATTTTCAGGGATAGGCTGACTTCAGGAAAATGCCCCAGACAGGATCTGAAACCACAGCATTAATCTATTCTGACAACTCCTGCCCCCTCGTGGCTACAGCTACCCGCTGCACCTTCCCTTCCCTGGGCAATACTCCCATAGGGAACTAGAATAGTTTTTTAACCTGGAGCTAAGACCAGGGCAGGCAGGGCACGGTGTATAGAGAGGGATCTAGGCAGGATAGGTCCCAGCAAGAGGTCCTGGTAGACAGTTCTCTCTCCTAAGAAGGTAAGCAATCACATGTCCATACGCCTTGGTGGGTGTCTGCAAGTTACACATGTAGGGGTGCACGGCAGTGGCTGGAGACAGTGGTATTCTTGATCCCCATCTTCCTGCTAGGGAAGCATTTCCCAGATAGCAAGGGGACTCATTAGAGAAATCCTTCCTCCAGGTAGCACAGACCTGGACCCTTCTGGAAGCCTCTCTGGGAAGTGAGAGAGTCCTTGGCAGGAGAGACCAGCAGACTCCCTCCACCCCTTCCCCACCCTGTGGTTAGGGCAGGGCCACGGCCAGTACCCCCACCACCCACCCTCCAGGAATGAGACACGGTGTGTTGCTGGACACTCGGTGTTGTAGTGTAGCTTGGTTTTATTTATGTCCACAAATATTTCAAAAAAATTACAAAATACTCAAATGGAGAGAACACAGAAGTCACGATTTCTGGGTGTCTACTCTGTATACACTGTGTTATCTCATGGCAAACTACTCATATATACATTTAGCTTCAAGATATATATAAACGTAGCAAATCAGAATATACACTCTGTTCTGCTTCTGCTGCAGTGAAACGTGAAGCTCAACCTTGACGACATTGAACAAGACACATACAAAACACAGAAAGCAAAACCGAACTTCAAATGAAAGGAAGGAAAATCCAAAAGGAAACCAAGCGGTCGGGCTTCAAAGACACCACACAGGTCTGGGGCCTCCTAAACAAACTCTAGGTGATCGGGCAAGGGCTTCAGATTGTGGGTTTAATGGAAGAATTGCAGTGCTCCACCTTGGGATATGGGGAGAAACCCGAAACATAACAAGAAAACACCTTCAGACAGTTTTCAAGTACAGACTTCAAAGTACTTCACCCTTTCTCTTCTTTGGAAAAATGGGTAATACAGGAGATAAACAAGTTAAACCCAATGGTAGAAGTTAGGTTCTACCAAAGAAAGGAGGGGATGGGGGAGACAAGAGCAAAAGAGGAGTGTCAAGGGAAGGGGAGGGCACCCAGCAGGAAGAGGCCTCTCAGAGCTAGAGGAATCCCGCAGGGCAGAGCGCCTGGGTGGTGTGTCACCCACCCAAGAAGGAATAATGCCTGCATGGCAGCCAGTCGTTTGATGGCAAAGGGTTAATTTGAGTTTGCCTCCCCCTAAGGAACTAAAATTGAGGCAGAAATGGAATGAGAGAATATGAAACAAAAAAACTACAAATATTTAACAGTTAAAACAATCCTATCTGTCCCGACTCAACACCCAAGAGGGTTTTTGATACAAACTGGAGAGGGCCTTGCTGCAGGTCTCAGTCAAGCCCCTGACACGCCCCTTGCGGCCTGGGTTCTGGGTACACATTGTCCACTGACCCACAGGCAATTCTGAGATGTGCACCACACAATGGGCCTCGAGAGTTTGAGAGGATGGGAAGGGGTCTTGCCCTGGCACGGGTGTGGTCCACAGATGCAGGTCTCCCACCTGTGTCTTGCAGGGATGGCTCTGCTCTGGAAGGACCCAACCTCCTACCAGTGGTACCTCCGGGCGGAAGCCTGCTTTCCCAGTCTGATGTGAGTCACCCTGCATGGGGCCAAAAGAGGCAGGCTGCCACTCATAATCATGTTAACGGCCCCCAGTGTTCCTCACTCAAGCAGCCTCAGTCTGCAGTAATGACGACTTGACTGGGTCCTCGCAAGGACATCCAAATGGTGACGTCACAAAAGGGCAGATTTTGAACAGATCCCGTTGGGAGGCATATGTCCTGGCTCTTTCATGTGCTAAGTTATATGGAATCATTTTCTTGGATTTTCTAGAATGTATTTGTAATCTTCAAAGTATTAAAAAGGCAATTTATCCAGAACAAATGTTGTGTGCATAGAACTCTGTAAGGAAATCTACCATCGGACACATGTAAATATGTGCTTTCTATCCCACAGAGACAGGACGATGATGACACCAGGGAACAGAAAGCCAACACAGAACTCCCACACTCCTGTACACAATGAAAGAGGCTCGCTGTCAGACGTCTGCGCCGCTGGCAAAGCACGTGCGGGAAACAGACGGAAGTGAAAATCAAAGCAGCAAAATAGTCTGTAACATTGTCCCTGCAAACCCCTGGACGCTCACTGCTGTGACCAAACCTAGTCCAAGCTTCTGCCTATTTGTAATTAGTTAACGCCCATCTGCTCCCTTTAATTAAAGGGATAATTATATATAACTTTTTATTAAAAAATCAACTCTGTATTCTGTCAATAGCTGGTAGGAATTCACAATTAGTGACATGGCTGGAAAAAATAGATCAGAATAGTAGTTTGTGGAAGGAAAAAAAGGCTGTTCTAAAATTATTTATTTACAGACATAAAAAGCCATGCTGCAGAGCTTTCTCAAATTATGAAGATTTCCTACAATGTATTAAAATAAAAGATTTTTTAAAAATTATAGCTCTTGGATTCCAAACTCATATGCCACCTCTCTGCAAGCCCCGTGGGTTCTGGCACCCACGTGTCCATCGTGTCTGCACGCACAGTGAAGGGTGTGAACGGATTCTAGCACCTACTGAGAAATCAAGGGAAGAAAACTAAAGCCGAACCCCAGGACTGCAGGGAAGCTCTCTGGACACTCAGTCCAGTCCAGGACTCACTAAGTTTCTGGGGCACTGTCATGCAGGGAGACCCGAACTGGTCTCAGGGAATCCTCTCAACAAACAACACTATTATGCAGATACATTTTAGTTGCGGGGTTTTTAAATATATAACGAAATCTTTAGAAGATATTCTTTTTGCTTTTGCAGCTCCTATTGTATGTAAAAAGTTCTGTTTCTCCCCCCCCAAGAATTGGGGTTTCCACAGCCAGCGTTAACAAATAAATAACTTATAACTGCTTGTCACCTTCTTTCTTCAGTCGACTGGAAAGAAGAAAAGAACACTGGAATTAGGCCTGGGCAGTGGCAGGCAACAGCACCTCACAGGCCACAGGCAAGTGGCTGGAGCCTGCCTGCCTATTCACAGGAACCCCCATGGAGGGAGCCTGGGCTCAGACACAGCACCCCCCTCTACCCTCCTCCCCCCCACCTCACCTGTAATAATCTTCCTGACTTGGCAGGTGGCCACCATGCATGTGGGGGTGTCCATGCAGCCACTGTTGCTCCATGGCCAGTCTCTGTAGCTCGGCCGACTGGGCATGCATGGCCTGTAGCTGATGGGCTGCTGACATGGGGGGTGGGATGGCCCCAGGCAAGTCTCGGGGGTAGGGGGTTCCTGCCAAGCACAAAACAGTCTCCACTACAGAAACAGCCAAAGGAGTGGCCAGGATAAAGGTGGCACAGACACTGACCAGCAAGAAGGTCAGCAGCCTCATGCCACTGGCCAGGGACAGTCAAGTCGGCCCTTTCCAAGCTCTGCAGAAAGTACTTCCCAAGGTGTGGGGCAAGAGGCTGCTCAGCAGTCTCGGAGACCCAGGGAAAGAGAAGGCCTAAACCATTGCCCTAGGTCTCCTGTCAGACCCTGCCAGCCTCCTATACTTCGCTCCAGACCTCAGTCGAACGCATCTTCCAAGAGGCCTTCCTTGAATCAGCCTAAATTAGGGGGTCTCGGTTACTCTCCCACCAGCCCAGCAGTTCTGGCTCCCTCCTGCAAGACTGAACTGGCACACATTTATGACCTCCTCCACCCAGAGCCCCCTGAGAACAGAAGTTTGCCTGCCTTGTCCCCATGAGGATGCTGTCCACAGAGGGTGCAAATCCAATTTGTTCAATATATAACTGAATGAACAAGCAGGGACAGCTCATCAGACTGCTACTCCACTCTCCAGTGGAACCCATATATCCTCCCCTGGTAAATTCTTACCAAACACTGGATGGCGCAGCATCTCGTGCTCATGGGGAGGCTGTCCCAGCAGGGGGTTGGGGAGGGTGCCAGGGGGGTAGGGGAAACGAGCCAGGTGAGGGCCAGCAGTCAGGGGGTCAACCAGGGGGTGAACTGGACCTGCCGAACCTAAAGGAAAGAAAGGATACAAGTCCAGATATGGATGATGTGTGGCTCCTGGCTGGTAACCAATTTCTTCTCCCTCACCCACACTGGCTCCTGGTCACCAAGGTTGGAAGTACCACTTGGCAGCACATGATTCTGACTGAAGGGGTTGCCCCACCATCTTGAGGGTGAGCTCCAGAGAGGAGGAGAGCAGGGACAGGCCAGCCATTCAAGCATATGTTTCCTCCCCTGCTCCCCAGCACCCTTCCAGCAGCACCACATGTTCTGTTCACCACATGTTCCCAGGACCCACAGAGCCCACTGGTCTGGGGCCTGCCCTGTGAGCCTGTTAGGGCTACAGCAAGTCACTCCTGTCCCACCTGCAGATGGGGTGTGGCTGGACACAGCACTGCTCCATCTCCTCTGCCGGAAGCGCTCGCCATGGCTCCCTTACTCCCTTCAAGGCAGTCTCCTGACCAGACCCCTCTGCAACACCCAGCAAGGTTGTTTCTCCTGCTTGGGTTCCCTGGCAGCTGGCACTCACCCTCGTGCTCTCGGCAGCAACCTCCTTCTTCTATCTGCCTTCAAGACTGCTCTAAGCCACCACTGCTCTAGGCCAGCCTCTTCCAGGTGGAAAGAGGCAAAAGGGTGGGGACCGGCACTGTGCCGGGCGAAGTGCTCCATGGGGTTAGGGCGGGGTGCAGGGGGTCCAGAGTGGCCTCTCCAGAAGCAGTGCCCCCAGCACTCTTTCCCTCTCCTAGACTTACTTTGTACCCAACACTGACCTGCTCAAAGACAGCAGAAGCCAGGTCCCATGGGAATGTTCTGCTTGCCAGCAAGTGCTCAGGGAACCCAGACAGCTTCCCTCCATCCCAGGCAAAGGGGCCAAGAACCCAGACTTTCCCCAGGAGGCCGCAACAGAAGGCCTGGGTACGGAGCAGCTCTGGAGAGCCAAGGGAGGGGCTGAGCTCAGTCAGACTCCTAGGTGGATGCTGGGAAGTCGGGATCCTCCAGGAATCATGGCCTCACTCAGAGAACACTCTGTTCTTAGACAATGACTCCCTTCTTTGCTGAGGCCCTAGGCCCTCCCCATGCCCCGGCAGGGGAACCCACCTTGGTGGAGGGGGTCCTGCTGGTGGAGGTGGAGGTGGGAGTGGATGTGTGAGTGCTGGTGATGGTGTGGAGTCACATTGAACATCTGAAGTCGTGCCAGGGGGTCGCTGGTCAGTGATGCCATGCGCTCAGCATGGATGCGCTCGGCTGCCAGTCTGTCAGGGTAGCTCATCTCGGGCCGCAGCTGGGGGCCTGCCAGGGCCAGTCTCTCCCGCTCCAACGGGTTCAGGCCGGGGTGGAAAGAGGCAAAAGGGTGGGGACCAGCAGCAGGGGGGATGGTGAGGGCACTATGCCGGGCGAAGTGCTCCATGGGGTTGGTGGCGGGGTGCAGGGGGTCCAGCTCTGGGGGCTTCACCTCAAAGCCTGGCTTCATTCTCTCACGCAACTCGCGCTCCCGGATCTCGCGCTCCCGGATTTCCCGCTCCCGGAGCTCGCGCTCCCGGATGGTGGGGTCCACGTTGTAGAGGCCAGGCATGTGGTAGGCCAGCAGCGGATCAGTAGGGTTGAGGGGCATGTAGAAGGGGTGGTTGCGGTTGGTGGGTGACATCACGTGGGGGCGAGCATATTCGCTCAGTGTCCGGAGAGCAGGTGTGTCGGGACCAATGTATGGGGGTACGGCAGCTATGGTAGTCGGTGGTGGTTCAAAGGAGGGCCGCATGTGGCCAGGACCACTGAGCTGGGGGTCACCAAGGCGGCCTTCATGTGCTGAGCTGGGTGCCTTCTGTTGAAGAAAAGAGGACAATAAGGGGTGGAGCCACGCTGTTTGGGCGGCAAGCTGCAGGGTCAGGTGGGGCATCTCCTGCAGAGCCCTGGCAGGCGGACACCAAGTCACTGCTGAGTCAGCCTGGCCTGCGAGTGCTGAGCTACCTGAGGGGCTCCAGGACAGGCCACATCACCAGAACCAGGGACGCTGCTAATAGCACTTGTCCCTCCAGCTGCAGGAGAACACACCAGGCAGCACTGCATAGAGCCAGGCTGCCAGAGCACTGCCACCCACTGGGCCCTCCCCGCCCACCCAGCCCTCTGGCACTCACAGCAGCTCGCTCCGCCTCCCGTTCCCGCTCGCGCTCGCGCTCTCGCTCCTTCTCTTTCTCCTTCTCCCGCTCACGCTCCTCCCGGGCTTTCTGTTCAGCCTCCCTCTTGGCCTTCTCGATGGCCTCCTCCCTCTTCTTGGCCAGTTTGGACCCAGCCAGGGGCATGAAGTACAAGTCTGTCCGCGCACATGAATTGTAACCTCGGTCCAGGTGTTTGTAGAACCTACGAGAGGCCACATCTTTAGTCAGGGGATTGTCAAGACCTCTCCCCGTGTGGGGGGCCTTTGCAAAGTCCCTCCAGATGCTTGGCTGGGCCCACTCACACCCTGATTCCTGGGAACCAATACCTGGCAGACTGGCTGGCATGGCTGGGGGTGTCCACCACAGTGGGCTCAGGGGACGGACTTCTTGGGGGAGGAGGGGGGCTCTCAGGCTCCTCAGCATCATCGAGAGCCTCCTCTTTGATCTGGACAGTGGGAAGTGAGCAGGGCGCCCCACCTGGCACGCTGCCTCCTGAAGAAACTGTAGCAGGGCAGGGTGGCTGGGTGGATGTACTGGGTCCTGCAGGTGGGGTTGAGGTGGGGGGGCAGGTAGGTGGGGTAATGGGAGGAGGGCCTCCAGGGACAAAGGGGTGCTGAGCAAAGGGGGGCTGGGTGGCCACCTGGTGGAGGCTGGCAGGGGGGTGAGCAGCAGCAGGAGGGGGCAAGCTCTGGCTCTGGGTCAGCCCAGGGGGCTGGGCAGGAGAAGAGGGCAAGGGCTGGCTCTGAGGCATGAGCTGCAGGGGTGGGGGATGGGCTGAGGGTGGGTGGTGTGTGGACAGGGAGCTGAGGGGCTTCAGAGCCGGCGGTGGTGGCAGGTTGGCATTCAAAGAGAAGGGTGAGGGCCCTGAGAGGTGAGGTGGGTGCTTGTGGGCCTGTGGGGCTGGAAGCTGGGGGATGGGTGTGGTAGGTGGGGGCTTGATGTGAGGCATGGCCAAGGGTGCTGGTGGCAGAGGCTGTTCTCTTGGGGGCTGCTGAGGTTGCAGTGCTGACTGAGAGGCTGGGAGCTGCAGGGTGGTGTGAGGGTGAGCTGCTGCTGGGGAGGTCCCCAGAGCCGTTTGTCCTTGGGAGGCCTGAGGAGGGAGGCCAAAGGGCTGAGGAGGGCCTGGGTGCTGTAACAGGGATCCAGCCTGCAGGCTGTGAGGGCCAGGGGGACCCTGACTGTGCAGGGGGGGCTGGGTATGAGGTGGTGCAGAGGCCTGGCCGGCCGGCCCCGTCAGAGGCTGCAGTGTGGAATGTGGTGAGGGCAGCCGTGGCGGGTGCAGGGAAGGCGCCTGCTGGATGTGGGCATGGGCCACAGGTGCTGCTGGAGCCTGTGGCTGGTTAGGAGGCTGTGAGGCTGCAGGGGAGCCCTGTGGAGGAAGCGCAGTGGCAGAGGGTGTGGGTCCTGGGGCAGGAAGCTGGGGTGCTCCTGGAGGGGCTGTGGGGGTGACTCCACCAGGCGCCTGCAAGGCTGGAGGCTGAGCCTGCAGCATCTGCTGCTGGGCTGATGAGTCCGAGTCACTCTCATTGTCCTGAGGGCTAGGGATGCTGGGGGACGTGCTGCGATTGTCCTGGTCGATGTCTTTGGGGTCACTGCTGCCCTCATCATTGACGCTGCGGCTGTCTGAACTCTCTCCCTCACCCTCAGAGGGCGAATTAGGCCGGCTGATCTCCTAGAGTGAAAAAAGGGAGGGATGGAGATGCTGGGAAGGCAGAGCTCTCTGCCCCACACAGCTCTCTGCACCTGGCACACAGCCTGGCATATGATAAACAGCAGCAAGCTTGGCCTCAGGGCAGTCCCGTCCTGGCTGGGCCAGTGTCAAGGGCCATTCTAGCACTAGCCCCCTCCCCAGAAGGCACTGCCTCTCCACCTGGAAAGCCTGGGCTGGAGCTTCTATAGAACTTCGGCTGTAAGCTGGAATTAGCAAGGCCTGGCTGCCAACCTCACCTGTGTTTTTGTCTTCTTGGAGCTGGTCCTCTCGGCCTCCTCCGTGTCAGAGGCCACCTTTTCCCGCTGGCGCTTGGCACTCTTCAGAGGGGACGATGCTTCTTCCTTTACCTTCTGCAGCAGAAGGCCCATGAGGGGCAGTCAGGCCAAGGGAGAACGTCCCACTGGCCTCAGAATGGAAATGACCAGTTTGCGAAAACTTTGTTCCCTCATTTTGGGTTCTGTCTCCAGAAGCAAGAAAGCTCTGGAAGGGGCAGCTTGGGACCAGGAGGGAATAAATATCTAGGGATGGGAATACTAGGCTCTAGGGGCAGGAAGCCTTCCCAAAAACTCAGCATCCTCTGCCTGAGGCCTTGGGGAGCTTGAGGCAGAGATGACTCCAAAGGTTGATGCTGGGAACTGAGTGGGAATGTCCCCTTCCTCCAGTCCCGGGCCTTTGTGTGCAGCCTGTAGGCCAGGGCAGTACTAGTGCCCAGAGGCTCCACACATGAGCTGCAGCCCCAGGTCTGAGGAAGCCGAAGGGAGGGACTATGTAGTTCCCCTTCTACTCCCGGCTCCTGACCTTGGCTGACTTCTTCACTGTTTCTGCTTTGCTGTCATTGCTGGAGGTGCTGGCAGCGCTGGGAGAGTTCCGGCCACTGGAGCGAATGTCTTCATTGATGGGCGAGGCACGACCATCAGGGCTGGCTGGCTGCTTCTTCCGACCACTGCGTAGTGTCGACATCTGTCCTCCCAAGACAGAGGCCAGTGAGGCTGGGATACCTAGGCCTCTGGATACTCCTGCCACAGGCAGGAGCCTGATAAGCAGGCCTCACAGCAAACTCTTGCCCCTGGCATATGACAGGCAGCTCTCCTGTCCCTCCACTGCACAGTCAGTGTGGAGCTGAGGAAGCAGGAGGTGTGAGTGGGTGGGTTCACACAAAATTGAAAGGAGAGTCATTCTCAAACCCAAAGCATTCCAGGGGCTCTCCTGAACTCCCTGTGCTAGAAATAAATGCTGAGCCAGCTACTTTGACACACAAGGTCATCTTTACAGCACCTCACCTTTCCACTTATTCCAAGTAACTGCCCACTCTCCCAAACAAACCAAAGGCAAATCATGTACTTGTGGAGTTAATCTGACAGGCTGGAAAGTGACCCAAAGAGATGACTGCAGCTCAGCTCCTACGCCTGCTGAGCACTGCAGCGTGTTCCTGTAAAGCCAGGAGGGTTCAGCAGAGATTAGGGTGTTCGCCTGCTCCCTTCTGGGTGTGTAGCAGCCAAGCTGACTGCTCTTGACAGAAGAGGGTGGACAATCCCACACACCAGAAGGGTGCCTGGGGAGGCCAGTGCTAGAGGGGAAAGACCCTTTGATATCCTTAGTCCTAAGCCAAAACATCCTCTCTCCCACAGCCCCAACCACATTTCCAACCCAGGAAACAAAGCTTCTTTATGAAAGGGCCTATGCAGTAGGTAAATATACCAGAGTAGGAAAATGTAGCAGAAGTTTCCAAAACTGGATCAAACATTTAGCTTTAAAAAGGAGAAGGGAGAAGATGGGAGGGGAGAGGAAAAGTTTTTCAAAAATTTAAAATAGGCTAGGGGATGTAGCTCAGTTGGTAGAGTACTTGCCTCACACGCACAAGGCCCTGGGTTCAATCCCCAGCACCACCAAAAAATAAATAAATAAATAAAAAGTTTAAGATAGCAGAGCAATGTTACACTGGAAGTGACTGGACTTCCAGTGAAGTTCTGAGGTACTTGGACAGCTGGCACTGAGGCACAAACCAAGACCAAAGAGCTCTCTGTAGAGCTAAGCTCAGGATGAGTCCCCCAAAGCCCCAGCAAGAGGACAGAGAGCTCTTCCTACTCCACAGGCATTACCACAATGGGTCTGTTTCTCTACCTAAAATAGAACTACACTTGCTCTCACAAGGGGATAAGCCCACAGCGCCCTTGGCACTAGAGACACAGGTGAGGGAGACTCACCGAGCCCCGACTCCGCCGCGTCCTCATGCTATGCTTCCCGCTGAGCCCATCGTCCTCCTCCTTGACGGGTTTGAACATGAATGGTGGGGGGTCCACGGGCTTCTCAATGGGTGGTAACTCACCGTACTTCTTGAAATGGATGCGGCACTCAGTGCAGAGCAGGATGTTCTCCCGGCCCCCGTGATGCCAATCTTTGGATGCTGTGAGGGAAGCAGGTTAGGGGTGCCAATCCTGAAAACTACCTCTCCCATGGTGCCACCAGAGCCACACAACACAGGACTGTTACTCAGAGAATCCATGTTCTGGGGCATCCTCTGCACCTGGTTTCTGGGGCACCCAGGAGGAGGTAGCCTCAAGTTACCAGGAGCCAGAGCCCCCCCATCATGCACCCCCGGGACCAGTCCTTCCTACCCACCATTCAGTACAGAACTCCACAATGACTGCTAAAAATACAGGCAAAGTCAAATAAAAGAGTTTCTCAAGTACAATACAGACATCACATCAATCACTTCCTCTGGCACGTTTCCAATCTGATGCATGAAACGTTCAGAACCCATGAGTCTGGCCTGGCCCGGCCCAGGGAAGGAGCCCATCCCCTGCCCCAGGGGCACAATGAGGCCACTTACTGGTGGTGAAGCAGTGGCGGCAGGCGTATCCCTTCAGCTCCTGTTCACTGTCCTCACTGTCGAAGTCATCCTCACTGGCTGAGCTTAGGTCCACTGAGCAAGGCAGGCGTATGTGGGGAGAAGGGAGATGCCATCATGCTCCACCAAGCCTGGGACCACCCTGGAACCTGTCCAGCCCTGGGCTCTGGGCTACCAGTCAGAGTGGCTCCACAGGCTGAGGTGGGACAGCATTCATGAAGGATCACTTTGAATTCCTCAGGGTCAGTCACTGGAACCAAGACTTGCGTGTGAAGGGTCGTACTCAAGGGCCTGCCCTGCCAGGTTTTTGAGGGGTGATGTCACACCTGAATCCTGGTGTGGCAGACACTGGTGCCCATACTGGTGAAATCTAAACATGCACACAATGCGTTCCCTGGCACAATGGGACATTCTAAGGCATTCTGTCCCACTTAGCCCACACCAATCCTACTAGAGAATTTTTGGCTGTCAACATGTACAACATGGTGACCCCTTGCACAGGTGTCCTGGACAGGGACATAACTGCAAGGTACTGCTGCTACATCCTAGCTTTAGAAGAGAGAAGGCAAAGCCTCACTGTCACATCAGCAAGGGCTGCACACACACTCCAGTACATGCCTCCCACGGCTGCCTAGGCTGTCAACTCCTGCGGGCGCAGAGCTGAATTCGCATGTGAACAGTCTCTCACTATCCACTTACAGAATTCACTGGACGGGGGTCTGGAGGGTGTGTTGACTGGGGTGGATGCAGTGCGAGTCTTGATCCTCCTGAACACAGCCTGCCTACGGTGCCGACGATGGGCTCTGGAGCTGGCTGCTTCAGGGGTTTTCTTCCAGTAGTAGTAGAAGGTGATCAGCTCCCCCTGCAGGAAAGAAAGGCCTGCTGTGAGGGTAGTGTGCAGAGGGTGACCTTTCTCTGCTCAGTGCAGAGACAGGATGGCAATGGCTCTCCTGGAGACAAGAATGAAGACGAGTCTGCCCCTGGAGCTGGGAGGAGGACCTGGTATACTCTGGGAACACAGCTACCAAACAGCCCAAAGGCTGCACAGACGGGGCTTATCTTCCTCAGCCCAGCAGAGCACAAGTTCCAGTTTTGCAGAACACCCACTCTGGAAGTGTCTGCTGGGTATCAACTACGGGCCAGATGCTTCCACAGTTCTACGCACTGCAGACAAATAATAATAAGAGACAAAAAGGGAAGAAGGCTCCTACCCGTGTTCATGTGTGTGCGCGCGCATGAGTGGGTGTGTGTCTGGGTGTGTACACAGAGATGTTTTCTGTGCAGCATTTCAGTGGAACCACACAGGCAAATGTGTGAGGAAATGCCTGGCTGGTTAGAACCAACCAACCAATCAACCAACCAACCAACCAACCAACCAACCAAAGAAAACAGCACGTCAGCTGGAATGCAGGCCAAGCAGATGGTCAGGAAGAAGAGAGACCCCCCAAAACCAGGGAGGCTGCTGTTCAACCTCCCTCCACCATCTGCAGGCCCACAACTGGGCAAGCTGGCAGAAAGTCCTGAAGGCCAGAACTAGGGCTCAACAAAGGAGGACAGAGGACAAATCCAGTGGTGCTGATGCAGAGATAAAATGTCACCTTCTGCAAAGTCAGCTTTCGTGGTAAAAAAGAGCTTTCCATCTAAGGCCCAACAGAAAGGGAAGCAAAGTGTCACTTTGAAAAAAACCTAATCCAACTTTTTTGAAAAAAAAAAGGGGGGGGGTACTTGTGGCAGCCCCACTCCTTCCGAAGTTCTGCAGGTACCTGACTCACACGCACACAAATGGCACATCAAGCCAGCCAGCCCTGGCTGACTAAAGATCAATTTTAAAAAACAAACATCCCAAGATAGTCTCTTTACCTGGAACTTAAAAAAAGAATGGCAGTGAATAAGCCTAGATCACATGCTCATCTCCCATTAAATTAAAGTTGTAGAAATTTGGTTAACTTGGCAGACTCCCAGATAATAGGAAAGTAGGAACCTGGGCCAAAGCCCCCAGCACCTCCCTAATGCCTGCATCCCATGAGCAAGGCGCCGAGAAAAAAGAGAAGGCAAAGCTCCGGATCTCCAGTGAGCTACGGTCTACCTGCAAAGACACACGTTGGAAAGACCAAGACTAAAGACTAAGTGGCAAACCCAACAGCGAAGAGTGAAGACCACACACAAACTCCTGGGATCTACAGAGTACTCAATCAGACTAGGTTTCACTCAATACCCCAGAGTGGTCTTCGAACACGATCCAAGAGCAGTGGGCAGATTTTAGGCAGGGAATGGCTTCTGCAAGGCAGGCAATGAGTATATGCTGAGCACTTCCTCCCCAAAGCTGGGTTTTATGCCCGCACATTTTCCTAATGGACCACAGCTGTTTAAGCCTCTATAGAGCCTGTACCTCTCGGAATTATGAGTGTGTTCCAACCCTCAGAGCACTTAACTCTTAGCAAAATGCTAGGGACTGCCAATACCTACCCAATGGTACACTACCCCAGATCAGGGAGGCCAGGGACCAAGCCATCAAGGACAATCACACTTGTGCACATGTGCCCCGTGCTTTAGTCTTAACAGTAAGGGAACTGGAGAAGCTGCCCCTGAGGTTCCTGACCTGGGTCTCCACTACATGTTACTGGACAAATGCTGGTTCCAATTGCCGTGACCCCAGAAGATGGTGATCTGTGAACCTCCTGGCTCCTGTCATTTGCTTTCTTTTCTTTTTTTTAATTTTTTTTAAATTTTTTTTTTTTTAAAGACAGAGAGAGAGAATTTTAACATTTATTTTTTAGTTTTCGGTGGACACAACATCTTTGTTGGTATGTGGTGCTGAGGATGGAACCTGGGCCGCACGCATGCCAGGCGAGTGCGCTACTGCTTGAGCCACATCCCCAGCCCTGTCATTTGCTTTCTAAGACTTGGAAATGCATTTATCTCCAACAATCCCTTGGTGTTGCTAGGAGATTAAGGGATCTCTGCTGACAGAAAACTGACCTGAGTCTGGTTTTCCTATGAGAAAAAATGAAACATAAGTCCAGGCAGGTCACAATCACCCTTCAAACACGGTGTGAGAGTGGCACATTTCATTAGTCCAAGTGGGCAGCTGGTCCAATAAATCAGCTGATTCCACAGCTGGAAAGAGTCATGAAAAAAACCCTGAGTGGTTCCTTCCATGGATCCTTCCATCGATCCTTTAGCTCGATCACGTAAGAGTCCAGCAAATGACAGAAGCCAGGGATGCAAGGAGGAAATGGAAAGCTTTAATAAGAGGAAGAGAGTAAAACAGGAGGCAAAAACCCAGGTAGGCAGGTGCTGGCTGGGGTGGCCAAGCCTCTGAGTGCTCCCTGAAGGCTGGAGAAGCAGCCACTTGCCTGAACTAAATACTGCATCTCACAACTGATACTACTGATCGCCTCTGCTTCTCAAATGTTGAGTGTTCTGAAAGAGTCTTGAGTGATTTTAAAAGATAGCACAACCTGCAGATTAAAAAAGAAGGCAGAGTTCAGTACTGCTAAGAAACTGGCCCAGCGACAGACACCAGGCAGAAAAGAAGGTTCTAAGAAAGCCAGCTTGGAGCCAGCTCAGCACTTGCCACCTGTACTTCTGTACCATGTCCCACTCACAGGTGAGGCCACCCCGACCCAGAAAGAAGAAACACAACACTGGAATGAATTGCAGCTTCTTGTCAACATGTAAGCAAAAGTTCTTAAACAAAAATCAATAGTGCAGAACAGACATCAACATCTGAGTGCCAAGGATCAAAATGACCAGGAGAGAAGGACCCTCTTCCACAGGTCTGAAATCACCAGTGATGAGAAGAAGAAAGAATATTAACTTTTCATTTGGGAAGAACTTGTGTACACTGTTGGTGGGAACATGACATGGTCAAACCACTTTGTAAAAACTGTCTGGCAGTTCCTACAAAGTTAAGCAAATGCCCATCATGTGACCCAGCAATTCCACTCCTACCCATTTGCCCAAAAGATATAAAAACATGCTCACACCAAGACCTTTACACATATCTTCAGACAGTTTATTTCTAAAACAGTTCCAAACTGGAAACCACATAAATGCCTGCTGACAGGAGAATGGAGGCCTGGATTATGGCACAGCCACTCACTAGAATACTATGTGGTGATTAAAAAGGAACACTGCTGCTAACAGAGATGATTTCAAAAACACCTTGCTAAATGAAAGCAGCCGGACAAAAAAGCAGGCTTGCTACAGGATTCCACTCTAGATAAAGACCATGAAAAGCAAATCAGTGGTCGGTTGCCTAGAGCCTAGAGGGAGGGGGATAAGAAAGTGCTGGCAAGGGACCCAAGAAAAAACACTTATAGGGTGACAAAACAGTCTATAAATTGATGGGGGTATTATTTAAACAATGGATACAGTTGTAAAAATTTACTGAACTGTGCACTTAAAATGGGTGCATTTTTAATGTAAACACACCATATATGGCACTTTATCAATTACGTGTCAACAAGGTTGATAAAACAACAAATCCAGGCCAGGTTTTATTAGCAGCCTCTCAGCCACTGTAATGTCTACCAAGGGATTAAACACTGGAATGGAGGAATCTGGGAGGATTAGAAATAGCATATTGGTGACTGCATGGGTGGCTAGGTCTTGAGCACAAACAAAAGAACATGTCGGAAAGCTTGGGTTCTCCAAATAGGGAGTGAAACAGCTCACGGCCTCACCAGGAATGAAGTCAATTGAACTTTAATCAAACATGCATAGTGTGTGCTGCAGAGACCCACTGCACATAAATTCAGGGAACAAAAGCTGTTGCAGAAATCAATAGCTTACTGAAACATCAACACAGGCAATCATTGATCAAAAGGCAGCTCCACAAAGGCTGCCTTGCAAATTAGCCCTGCTTTTGCTTACAAGCAAACACTGAGGTCTGAACATCGTCCTCGACACCAGTGGCCTATAATGATCATTTTGTTCCAGACGCTCTCACCTCAATGCACAACAAGCACTTGCAGCCACCTCCGTAACAAGTGCACACAGCACAATGAACTGAGCTGGCAGAACACCTGGGGGAAAAGAGAAGCCCGGGGGAAAAGAGAAGCCCGGGGCACAGCACCCTGCCCACAGGCACTGTAGAGCCACTCTGCCAAGAGAAGGGCTTGAACCCCACTGGCCTATGTTTAGTGCCTTCTTCCTTTCCAGATCCCTAGTGGGAAAGTGGATCGTCCCCACAGATCATATGTGAAAGGCCACTGGCAAAGGTCTTCCCAGAACCCACAAGGAGGTTAGGGAAATAAGTGCCATTAGGTTCCTATGATCTTTCCATAAAAAGAAAAATGAAGCGAAGGGAGTGCCGCCACACAGAAGGGAGAAGAAGAATCGAAGGCTAATGGAGGCAGCACCTTCTGGGCAGGCCAGGGCTTGAGGAGAGAAGCAGAAAGGCTGAGGGCTGACTCCAGGCCAGTAGGGGTAGCTCAAGGGCAACTGCTCCAGTAATCCACAGGCTGCCTCCTCCTGCCACCTCTTGCTATGCCCTTCTGGGCCAGGATGCAAGTCTACCAAGGTCACCCACCAAAGCATTCAAATGACAGTGCTCCCTTGGCCGCCTGGGCAATCTGGGCTGCAGCAGCAGGGACCAGGGCTGCGCATCTTTCAGAGGCCACCTATACCTGTTTCAGGCACAAGTCTATTGATATGGCTCAACCTGGTACAGCCTGACCTTGGGTAAGCGACAGGCTGGCAGGACATTCCAATGGCAAGACAAGTGTGCACCTGGCAAGACAAGCATGGAGGCTGAGTGGGAGCTGCCATCCCTGTTACAGGTGTAGGCCCCACCGGTGTCCTTCTCTTCTCTTAAGCAGGTCAGTTTACCTGCCTGCACTTGGTAAGCCACACTGC